ACCCGGAAAGGGCCCTCCTGCCGCTTGGGCCCGGGAAAGAGCGATAACGTAATAGTTAGAATAAGGTATTCAGGGTTCCTTACTATAGCTATAGTGTAATATGCCCCAACCCTATTCTGATTATTAGGGTTCCTCATTATCGTTACAGTATAATCTACCCCAGACCCTATTCCGATTACTAAGGCCTGTAGCCTACAGCAGATAGTTAGATCAGAGGTCAAGGCTCGGTTAGGGTGTATCCCGACTTGGAGGATCATGGGACTTAGTAACTAGGGTTATACATAAGGTACCTATACTTATAAGTCCAATTAGGGTACTTATAGCCTTACTTACTAAGTCCCATGATCCTCCAAGTAAAGCTCACAACCCTGAACTCCAAGCCCTTCCCCTAAGCCCTAGATGAATAGGGATTCAGGGTTAGGGGTTAAGGTAGGTCTCGCGTTCTGGCTTCGGGCTTCAAGGCTTTCCAGTTGTCGGGTTTGGGGGTCTTGGGTTTACGGGTCGCATGATGGATCTTTTCTTGTAGGATTCAGGTGGGCCCCCAAAGTCGCATGTAAATCCTTCCACCCCTAAACCCCAACCAAAACATCACAAGCCTAAACGCCCAACAGAACCCAACAACTCCAGATCAGGCTTTATGCAGGCTTGAGGGTTTCTCCTGCAGCTAAGGCCAAGGGAAAGGGCAAAGCAGCATGGCTGCAGGAAGCATTTATCATCCAGCGTGTGCGACGACAGAATCTTTCGCCGAAGGGCTTTGGGTTTGTGGCGAGCTGTACCAGAAAGTACAGGAACCGCTGTCAAACGAGCAAAGGTCCAGAGTTTGGAGCCTCGTAGGGTTTTGTAGGCCTGCAGCAAAGGCGACGGCCGAAGAGAGCACCCGGCAGAAGGCCCGCTCCTCGCTGATCCAAGCCGCAAAGGACGGCAGCCTGGAGAAGTCTTTACAGGACTTCAAGGAGAAAGTGGCGATGCCAGAGGCACAATCGGGCCAGACATTACCTGAGGCTCTATATATATATATATATATATATATATGTATATATGTATATATGTATATATATATATATATATATATAGTATTATATATATATATGTGTGTATACCATACCTACCTTGTTGTTGGTAGTGCTCTTTCATGCTTTCTGACGGATCCTAGTGTTTCAATGCAGGTCACCTAGCTGGAGTGTTCAAAGGGGCTGAGCTGCATGTCTAAAGATCTTGGAGTCAATCAGACTATGGGCGAAAACATTGAAGGCCTAGGGTTTAGGGGTACTAGGGTTTCCGGGAACAGAGTAATACTGAAAAACAGTGCAGTATTCATGCAAGGCGAACCGCATCATGATAATCAGTCACCATAACAATGACAATAGCAATGACAATAACAAACCGCAGTAACAATAGCAACCCCTCTGGCAGTAAAAACAATAGCAATGAACCTAGCACTATCAATAACAAGACCAATAGGGACTGACAATAGTAACACCACCGCCGCCGCCAGTAGCAGCAACAACAGCAACAGCAACCGCCACAACAACCACAATAACAACTACTACAAACCACAACCACAACTTAACCGCAACCGCAAATCCACAACAACCACAACATCCACAGCGACGGCGACAACAGCAACAATCACAGCGACAACGACAGAACCACAGCAACAACGATGACCACCACTACAACAGTGACGACAAAAACCACCACAACCACCATGATAATGTGGCTCAGCATGTAATTAAGCACCTGCAAGAAGTCATTGTAGTCCTCGCCGCCGCACTTTGGGGATCCATTCCCGAAGCCCTCGTCATTCCTGAACCCCACCAGCCCGAAGACTGAACTCCGAAGAGGCAGTCGTCCTGCACAGGCGACTGCGAGTGAGACCACGGAAGCGAAGGAGGTTCCGCCGCCGGTGGCAGAAACAGCCGTGGCCGAGGCACCTGCGCAAGTCCTCGACAAGCAGTCGTGTAAGAGAGTGGGCCAAACTCCAAGGCCCCCCATCCTGGGGCCTTAATCAGCTAGCCCCAGGACTAAAATCGCAAGAACTTCCGTTCTGGGGGAGACTGTGTGCCCCAGAGGTGGCAGCAAGTGCGCCGGCGCCGGAGCCAGCTGCCGGAGCAACGGAAGAGCCCGTTGCTGAGGCACGTGCTTAAACTGAGGCTTTGCAAAACGCAGCAGTATTGCAATGACAATCGTCGTCGTAAGCTGAAGACTCAGCATTGCCTTTTCGCGGGCTCCTGCCTTCGTCGAGGGACAATTGTCTCTCTTGTATTGATGCAGCGCTCTCTTGCGTTTCGCTCAGCCCTTTCTTCGCTGTGACCAGATCTCTTTGCTTCAGCGGAAGGCACTGCCATCCGCCAAGGGCAAGGCCAAGGGCCCTGCCAAGGGTCCTGGCAAGGGCCCACCCGTCGCTCGCTTTTCAGTGTGGGATGACGGAGATCGGTGTGTTACTTGTTGTGTCCGCCTGTGTTTGAGTGTCTGTGTTTAAGTGTCTATGCCAAGCTTCGACACTCCCCAACAACTAAGGCCAAAGGCAAGGGCAAAGCTGCTTGGCAGAAGGAGGCACCGACAGCCCTGGCCGTGACGTTCATTTGGAGCTAGCGCAGCTAGTTTCGGCAGAGTCATAGCTGTCTTTGACGCTCGCCCAACGACTGCAGACCCACAAGCATGTGGGCATCTGACCCGTTAAAAGTCTACGTTGATTGGATGTCAGTTTGAGCTGGGCAGCAAAGGCGACGGCCGAAGAGAGCACCCGGCAGAAGGCGCGCTCCTCACTGATCCAAGCCGCAAAGGACGGCAGCCTGGAGAAGTCTTTACAAGACTTCAAGGATAAAGCCACGATGCAAGAGGCAGGGTGGACACGTTTGAGCCTTCCCACTGCTTCTCGGAACTCCGTCGCCACAGGCTTGGTCGGCAGTTGATCGCATGGCATGCCAGATCCGTCCTGTGAGTGGGGCAAGGGCTTTGCTGCAAGCACATCTGCATCTATCTACCCGTGCCGCACTTTGAATACATCTACCACCCGTCGAACCAAGCTGCTTGTCTTTTCTGCCCCCAACCGTCTACCTCTTCCGTTTTATCTTATGATTGTTCTCTGTCTCTCTCTCTCTCTCTCTCTCGCTCTTTTTCTCTCCTGCTTGCAGAGCTTCCATTGCACATATGCACTTGCCTAAACATGTTTATCGTTGGTTTTTCATGTTTTGTCAGGAGTGTTATCTCGTTGTCTTGTTTGTGTGTTCACGTGTGTCTCTGTCCTCTCTCTGTCTCTCTCCAGCTCTTTGTCTCTCTGTGTCTGCCTCTCTGTCGCGTGCGCCATCTCCCGACGTCCGATAGCTCTATTCCTGCTTCCCTCGCTTCTGCATTGGTTGTATCATGATCTTGATTGCTTTTGGATCGTTGCATGGCTGTCCGTGTCTTGTTTGGTCCATCACCCGTCCAGCTCGCTCGATCGCTTCAAATCTCCAGCTGGCAAACTCTGCCTGCAGCTGTCGACATGCTCATCTTGGGTACTGCCCCCACTCAGTTGCATTTGGGCCCCATTATAGACTGTTACTGTATGGGGGCCGTACCCAATGCTCATCCCATAGCAGTAGCATACCATGTCCGTCGGCGAAGTTGGTAGGAAGGGAGGCGGGCAGGCGAGTAGGCATACCCAAGGGTAGTTCTCGTTTCGCCAGAACTCCTTGAGCCATTACTACCTGGATATTGGAATGACCCAGCCAAGCACATCCATGTTCGAGGAGAGCTTGAAGCCAAGGGTAGCGGTAGCACGGGAACGGTTTGCATGTTATCCCGCACCCTGACCACTGAAGGTTATAAATGTTAAAGTGCTGCGCGGGTAGTGCAAGAGCTGGTTGACTTGCAAATCCCCTTTCACACACTGGTGGCGTTGAGTATGTCCAGCTGTGATTGTCGTGTACCACATGCGAAGCTGTCGAGTGTAGTCAGGCCTTGTGGCCTTGCCCGCTCTTGTCATGAGGGTGCGCCACATCTCCATAGTCCGCCGCGCTAGGCAGCGAGCACACCGGAAGCAGCTGCTCCCGTCAAGGAAGAGGCCACTGCCGAGGCCTTTGACACCGGGATTCATTAGCTGCACGCTGCTTGTAGCCGCGCATTTTCTGTGCGACGTATACAGTTTGGGTTTGTTGAGTTCCCGATCCAGCGCGTGGCCTTTCACGAGAGGGTCTTCCATGCTCGCCAGGTTTATGTGAAGGACAGTTTGGATTTTGTTGGGCTGCCGGTCAAGTCTGGGCGGCCTTTCTGCGGGGGCATTTTTCATATTTGTCTCGCAAGACACAGCTGTGAAGTTGCATCCTTTGCGAGGCACCCACGCCAGCCAAGGGCAAGGCCAAGGGCCCCGCAAAAGGTCCTGGCAAGGGTCCACCTGCCGCTTGCCGTGGAGCGAGGTGTTGGTGAGGGGTCTTCCAGTGAGCTGAACAATTTGTCTGCAACACGGCTGTTTGTTGGAAGTTTCGTTGCAGAAGTTGTGTGGGATTGTTGCGCTTCCATTGTAAGGGAGTGATCCGAGGCGAAAGGGAAAGGCACGGCTGATGCTGCTGATCCTCCGGCGGAGAATGAGCAGAAGGAGACATGCGGGAATGCTTGTAATTACCCCCGCCATGCTGCAGAAGTCCTGGAGCCTTGTCGATTTCTGTATTGAACTCACCAAGCCCGGCACATCGCATCTCCGATGAAAGGTTGAAGCACAACGATAGCTGGGCACGGGTGCAGGTTGTCCCAACAATTTGAAGACCTAGGTGATGCGATCGTGGTTCAACAATGTTCAACAGCTTAAATTTTCAATCCAGAGAATGCTCGTGCGATGGGTTCTATTCTAGTTTCCGGATGTCAGTGTTCGATGCTGTCAGTCGCCACGTGCACGTCGTGTGTCGGCAGCAGTCGGGGGAGTCCCAAGCAGGCAGCCACCACGGACGTGGTGGAAGTAAAGGAGGTTCCATCAGCTGAGCCCGCGCCAGCTGAGGCACGTGGCCTTGCCCGCTCCAGTCATGAGGGTGTGCCACGTCTCCACAGTTTGCCGCGAGGCAGCGAGCGCACCGGAAGCAGCTGCCCCTGCCAAGGAAGAGGCCACTGCCGAGACCTTTATCATCGGGATCCAGTGTTTGAATGCTGTTTGTCAGCACCGGCCTTTCATGAGGGATAGCTGATGTTATGCTTAGCGCGTTACCGGTGCAGCCTCGCGGCCTTTCACGAGAGTAACTCTCTCATGTTCGCTTCGCAAGATGCTGCTGTGAACTTGCATCCTTTTGCGAGGCGCCCGCAGCAGCGAAGGGCAAGACCAAGGGCCCCGCCAAGGGTCCCGGCAAGGGCCCACCTGCCACTTGGCGAGGTTTTGATGGGGCTTCGAGGTTTATACGCACCTTTTTCGACGAGTTTTTGGTTCGCAGTTATCCATTCAGCTAAAGAGTCTAAAGAGTGTGAGTATGTCACTAGGTTTCGGAAGGTCAATGCCGAAAACTCGATGCAGTTGGTGCGCTGCCATTGCTAGAGCAGCTGATACGAGATCAGCTGTAGAGTGAGCTGAGGCGAAGGGCAAGGCAACGAGTGGTGCTGCCGTGCCAGACGATGAACAGAAGCAGGCATCTCCTCATGTTCCACTCGATTCCCTTGTGCAGTTCCACATACGACGCTCCGTCCTAGCATCATTTGTATGCCGAGAGGTCCTTTCACACTTAAGACTTCCGATTCGTCGGGCACGTTCTGATCTTTCAATGCAGGCGCCAGCAGCGACTGAGGAGCCCAGCACGAAGCAGAAGGCAGCAGCTTCGCTCCTCCAAGCCGCCAAAGATGGCAGCTTGGAGAAGTCCTTGCAAGACTTCGAGCAGAAAGCGGCTACCCCCGAGGCGAAGCTATAGCGCGGGAAAGGCTTTCACGTCACCCCACACACACACACACAGAATTAGTAGCTGAACATGGAGCGAGAAATAATCGCAACAGCTAGCTGACATGAAATCGTCAATCTGCAACATCCTAGGCCACGTTCCCTGTTGTCGTTGTCGTTGTCGTCCTTGCCGTATGATGTTGTGATACGTCGTGTGGTGCGTGCTTCGTGTATACAGCTCGTGATGTCGTAAGCAGGCAGCTGCTGCCACAGCCGACGTGGCGGAAGCAAAGGAAGTTCCACCATCTGCGGTGGTGACAGCAGAAGTCGCGCCAGCTGAGGCGGGTAACCTTTGCTAAAATCGTGAGCTAAATTTGGAGAATCTGTCGGGAGGCAACAGCGAGCTCGCCGGAAGCAGCTGCCTCTGCCAAGGAAGAAGTCACTGCTGAGGCCTTCGGCACCGGCATCAAGCACTTGCTTGTCAAAATATGTCAAGGCTACTGTAATCACTGCCCCCTGCAAATTTAACACCCCTTTAGTGGTACAAAACACTTTCCGGGTGATTAATGCCTCTGAAGTCATCCCTGCCGTTTAGAACCAATGTTGACTCGAGGGAGCTCAGGACCAAAAACACGAGCAGGAGCAAGAGCAAGAGTTGCAGCGGAAGCAGGCGCAACAAAGCAGGAGCAAGAGGAAGATCCGCCCAAAAGTGACAGTAGAGATAGGTAGCCTAACAATAGAAACGGCTTGCGAGCCTTTACCGGAGGCGGGCCCAACCGGTGAGGGTGAAGGGATTACAATGGACCGTTTTGGTTCACTGGGTTGCCGGTTTAACCTATGCGACCACCTCTCACGAGAGTAACTCTCTCATGTTCGCTTCGCAAGATGCTGCTGTGAACTTGCCTCCTTTTGCGAGGCGCCCGCAGCAGCGAAGGGCAAGCCGAAGGGTCCCGGCAAGGGCCCACCTGCCACTTGGCGAGGTTTTGTCGGAGCGAGGCGTTGGTGAGGGGTCTTTGAGTCAGCTGAAGAATTTTACTACAACACGGCTGTGTGGGAGGTTGTGTGCGGTTCTTGCGCTTGAGTTGTAAGGGAGCAGGGGGCAATCCGAGGCGAAAGGGAAGGGCACGAGTGGTGCTGCTTCGCCGGAGAACGAGCAGAAGGAGGCGTTCCGGAATGCTTGTTCTTGTTTCATACATGCAGCTTCACATGCGACTCCATCCAAGCTCCAGAGACTTTTTCGGTTATTGCAATGAAGTCACCAAGCCCGGTACATCGCATCTCCGATGAAAGGTTGAAGCACAACGGTAGCTGGACACGGGTTGCAACAATTTGAAGACCTGGGTGGTGTGATCGTGGTGCAACAGTGTGCAAGGGCTGTGTTTCTCCAGAGAATGCTCGTGCGATGGGTTCTATTCTATTCTAGTCCTCGGATATCAGTGTTCGATGCTGTCAGTCGCCATGTGCACGTCGTGTGTCCGCAGCCGTCAGGGGAGTCCCACGCAGGCAGCCACCACGGACGCGGTGGAAGTAAAGGAGGTTCCATCAGCTGAGCCCGCGCCGGCTGAGGCACGTGGCCTTGCCCGCTCGAGTCATGCGGGTGTGCTACATCTCCATGGTTTGCCGCGAGGCAGCGAGCGCACCGGAAGCAGCTGCCCCTGCCAAGGAAGAGGCCACCGAGGCCTTTATCACCTGGATCCAGTACTTGAATGCTGTTTGTCACCGACGGCCTTTCACGAGGGATATTTGATATTCACCGCATTACCGGTGCAGCCTCGCGGCCTTTCACGAGAGTAACTCTCTCGTGTTCGCTTCGCAAGATGCTGCTGTGAACTGGCATCCTTTTGCAAGGTGCCCACAGCAGCGAAGGGCAAGGCCAAGGGCCCCGCCAAGGGTCCTGGCAAGGGCCCACCTGTCGCTTGCCAAGGTTTTGATGGGGCTTCGAGGTTTTTTGCGCACCTTTTTCGACGAGATCTTGGTTCGTGGTTATCCATTCAGCTAAAGAGTGTGAGTATATCACTAGGTTTCGGAAGGTCAATGACGAAAGTTCGATGCAGTTGTTGCACTTCCATTGCTAGAGCAGCTGATCCGAGATCAGCTGTAGAATGAGCTGAGGCGAAGGGCAAGGCAACGGGTGGTGCTGCCGCGCCAGAGGATGAACAGAAGGAGGCATCTCCGAATGTTGCACTCGATTCCCTTGTGCAGTTCCACATAGTTCACACTTAAGACGTCCGATTCGTCGGGCACGTTCTGATCTTCAATGCAGGCGCCAGCAGCGACTGAGGAGCCCAGCACGAAGCAGAAGGCAGCAGCTTCGCTCCTCCAAGCCGCCAAAGATGGCAGCTTGGAGAAGTCCTTGCAAGACTTCGAGCAGAAAGCGGCTACCCCCGAGGCGAAGCTATAGCGCGGGAAAGGCTTTCACGTCACCCCACACACACACAGAATTAGTAGCTGAACAACACAAAAGCTAGCTGACATGCAATCGTAAATCTGCAAAATCCTAGGCCACGTTCCCTGTTGTCGTTGTCGTTGTCGTCCTTGCTATATAAGGTGTTGTGATACGTGATGTGGTGCGTGCTTCGCGTATACAACTCGTGATGTCGTAAGCAGGCAGCTGCTGCCACAGCCGACGTGGCGGAAGCAAAGGAAGTTCCACCATCTGCGGTGGTGACAGCAGAAGTCGCGCCAGCTGAGGCGGGTAGCCTTTACTAAAATCGTGAGCTAAATTTGGAGAATCTGTCGGGAGGCAACAGCGAGCCTGCCGGAAGCAGCTGCCTATGCCAAGGAAGAAGTCACTGCTGAGGCCTTCGGCACCGGCATCAAGCACTTGCTTGTCAAAATATGTCAAGGCTACTGTAATCACTGCCCCCTGTAAATTTAACACACCTTTAGTAGCACAAAACACTTTCCGGGTAATTAATGCGTCTGAAGTCATCCCTGCCTTTTCAAGCAACAAAGCAGGAGCAGGAGGAAGATCCGCCCAAAAGTGACAGTAGAGATAGGTAGCCTAACAATTGAAACATCTTGCGAGCCTTTACTGGAGGCGGGCCCAACCGGTGAGGGTGAAGGGATTACAATGGACCGTTTTGGTTCCCTGGGTTGCCGGTGTAACCTATGCGACCGCCTTTCACGAGAGTAAGTCTCATGTTCGCTTCGCAAGATGCTGCTGTCAACTTGCCTCCTTTTGCAAGGCGCCCGCAGCAGCGAAGGGCAAGGCCAAGGGTCCCGGCAAGGGCCCACCTGCCACTTGGCGAGGTTTTGTCGGAGCGAGGCGTTGGTGAGGGGTCTTTGAGTCAGCTGAAGAATTTTACTACAACACGGCTGTGTGGGAGGTTGTGTGCGGTTCTTGCGCTTGAGTTGTAAGGGAGCAGGGGGCAATCCGAGGCGAAAGGGAAGGGCACGAGTGGTGCTGCTTCTCCGGAGAACGAGCAGAAGGAGGCGTTCCGCAATGCTTGCTCTAGTTTCAGACAGGCAGCTTCACATGCGACTCCATCCAAGCTCCAGAGACTTTTTCGGTTATTGCAATGAAGTCACCAAGCCCGGCACAGCATCTCGGATGAAAGGTCGAAGCAAAACGGTAGCTGGGCACGGGTTGCAGTTTCCCAACAATTTGAAGGCCTAGGCGATGTGATCGTGCTGCAACAATGTGCAACAGCTGGCTTCTGTTTAAAGTGTTTCTCCAGCGAATGCTCGTGCGAGAGGTTCTATTCTAGTCCTCGGATGTCAGTGTTCGATGCTGTGTCGGCAGCAGTCGGGGGAGTCCCAAGCAGGCAGCCACGACGGACGCGGTGGAAGCAAAAGAGGTTCCATCAGCTGAGCCCGCGCCGGCTGAGGCACGTGGCCTTGCCCGCTCCAGTCATGAGGGTGTGCCACATCTCCACAGTTTGCCGCGAGGCAGCGAGCGCACCGGAAGCAGCTGCCCCTACCAAGGAGGAGGCCACTGCCGAGGCCTTTATCACCGGGATCCAGTACTCGAACGCTGTTTGTCACCACCGGGCCTTTCATGAGGGATAGTTGATATTTAGCACGTTACCGGTGCAGCCTCGTGGCCTTTCACGAGAGTACCTCTCTCGTGTTCGCTTCGCAAGATGCTGCCGTGAACTTGCATCCTTTTGCGAGGTGCCCACAGCAGCGAAGGGCAAGGCCAAGGGCCCCGCCAAGGGTCCTGGCAAGGGCCCACCTGTCGCTTGCCAAGGTTTTGATGGGGCTTCGAGGTTAATGCGCACCTTTTTCGACGAGATTTTGGTTCGCAGTTATCCATTCAGCTAAAGAGTGTGAGTATATCACTAGGTTTCGGAAGGTCAATGACGAAAACTCGATGCAGTTGTTGCACTTCCATTGCTAGAGCAGCTGATCCGAGATCAGCTGTAGAATGAGCTGAGGCGAAGGGCAAGGCAACGGGTGGTGCTGCCGCGCCAGAGGATGAACAGAAGGAGGCATCTCCGAATGTTGCACTCGATTCCCTTGTGCAGTTCCACATAGTTCACACTTAAGACGTCCGATTCGTCGGGCACGTTCTGATCTTTCAATGCAGGCGCCAGCAGCGACTGAGGAGCCCAGCACGAAGCAGAAGGCAGCAGCTTCGCTCCTCCAAGCCGCCAAAGATGGCAGCTTGGAGAAGTCCTTGCAAGACTTCGAGCAGAAAGCGGCTACCCCCGAGGCGAAGCTATAGCAGCGGGAAAGGCTTTCGCGTCACCCACCCACACACACACACACACACGCGCTCACTCACACACTCACCCACACCTCGAAGCAGTAGCTGAAAGTCACGCGAGAGTGATGCAAGAGCTGTCTGGAATGCAAACGTCAATCTGCCAAATCCCAGGCTAAGACGTCCATGTCCCTGTTGTCGTTGTCGTCGTCGTCCTTGCTATATAAGGTGCTGTGATATGTTTTGTGGTGCGTGCTTCGTATATATGTATATATATATATATATATATATATCTATATATATCTATATATATATACATATATATATATATATATATATATATATATATATATATACATATATATATATATATATATATATACATGTATAGTATATATATATATATGTATATGTATATTATATATATATAATATGGTATGTATGTATGTATGTATGTATGTATATATGTATGTATATATACACATTTATACACATGTGTGTGTATATATATATATATATATATATATATATATATATATATATATATATATAGCTCGTGATGTCGTAAGCAGGCAGCCGCTGCCACAGCCGACGTGGCGGAAGCAAAGGAAGTTCCACCATCTGCGGTGGTGACAGCAGAAGTCGCGCCAGCTGAGGCGGGTGACCTCCACTCCATTCGCGAGCTAAATCTGCAGAATGTTTCGGGAGGCAACAGCGAGCGCGCCGGAAGCAGCTGCCGTGGCCAAGGAAGAAGCCACCGCCGAGGCCTTCGGCACCGTGATCGAGTAGGTGCATGTCAAAATTTACCAGGGTACTGTACCTCAGACTGTCAGCTGTTAGCTATTCACTGGGTTGTCGGTTCAACCGACGCGACCTTTATTCACGAGGGCACCTTTCATGTTCAATTCGCAAGACACTACTGACTGTGACTTGCGTCTATTGCCAGGCACCCACGCCGGCGAAGGGCAAGGCCAAGGGCCCCGCCAAGGGTCATGGCAAGGGCCCACCTGCTGCTTGCCGAGCACTATTGAGTTTCGAGGTTTCATGCGAGCTGAAGATTGTAAGATTATGCCGGTGTGTATTGGACGGTCTGTGCCACAAGTTCGGCAAAACTGTTGCACTTCAATTGCTAGCTGAGGCGAAGGGCAAGGCAACGGGTGGTGCTGCTGCGTCAGGGGATGAACAGAAGGAGGCATCCCGCTTGATTCCCTTATGCAGCTTATGCAGTTGTAATCAGTTGCACCTACGACCTACGACTCCCCCATCCTGGCATGATTTTGTTGCCGAGAAATCCGTTCTTTCAAGACTGTTGATGCTTCGGGCAGGGTTGTTCTTTCTTTCGATGCAGGCGCCAGCAGCGGCTGAGGAGCCCAGCACGAAGCAGAAAGCAGCAGCTTCGCTCCTCCAAGCCGCCAAAGATGGCAGCTTGGAGAAGTCTTTGCAGGACTTCGAGCAGAAAGCGGCTACTCCCGAGGCGAAGCTATAGCACCGGGAAAGGCTTTCACGTTCCCCCCCACACACCCTGAAGCAGTAGCTGAACACGATGATCATGATGCCAGAGTGATGCAAGAGCTGTCTGAAATGCAAGCGTCAATTTGCCAAACCTAGACGCCACAAGTCCATGTTCCCGCTTGTCCTGGTCGTTGTCGTCCTTGTTGTAGGATGTTGTCATATGTTGTACAATGCGGGCTTCGTGTATGTTAGTTTATGTTGCGTATGTCTATGTATATGTTTTTGTTGTTTAAAATATTGGTTGTGATCTCGTAAGCAGGCAGCTGCCGCGGCAGCGGACGTGGAGGGACCAAAGGATGTTCCGCCATCTGCAGCGGTGACAGCAGAAGCAGCGCCAGCTGAGGCAGGTGACCTTCACTCCAGTCCTGAGCCAAATCTCGAGAGTCCGTCGGGAGGCAGCATTGAGCGCGCCAGAAGCAGCTGCCCTTGCCAAGGAAGCAGTCACTGCCGAGGCCTTCGTGTCAAGGGTACCATGGACCTTTTGCGTTCATCGGGTTGCCGTCCCAAAACACCGCTGTGACTTGCATCCTTTGCGAGGCACCGAAGGGAAAGGCCAAGGGCCCCGCCAAGGGTGCTGGCAAGGGCCCACCTGCCGCTTGCCAAACCTTGTTGAGTTTCGGGGCTATCAGCTGAGTGTATTAGAAGTTGGAAGGGTCCGTACCGCAAGTTTAGTGGTTCCATTCCTATAAAGCAAGATCCCAGATCAGCTAGCCTGAGCTGAGGCAAAGGGCAAAGCAACGGGTGGTGCCGCGCCAGGACATGAACAGAAAGAGGCCTCCCCGAATGTTATTCTCGATTCCCTTTTAAGTAGCTTTAAACGCAATTGCACCTACGACTCCCCCATCCTGGGCTGATTTTGTTGCCGAGAAATCCGTTCTTTCAAGACGGCTGATACTTCGGGCACGGTTGTTTTTGCGGTCAATGCAGGCGCCAGCAGCGACTGAGGAGCCCAGCACGAAGCAGAAGGCAGCAGCTTCGCTCCTCCAAGCCGCCAAAGATGGCAGCTTGGAGAAGTCTTTGCAGGACTTCGAGCAGAAAGCGGCTACTCCCGAGGCGAAGTTACAGCACGGGAAAGGCTTTCACGGTAGCACACACACACACACTCGCACCTTCAAGCAGTAGCTAAAAGTCATGCGAGAGTGATGCAAGAGCTGTCTGAAATGCAATCGTCAATTTGCCAAATCCCAGGCCTAAGACGTCCATGTCCCTGTTGTCGTTGTCGTCGTCGTCGTCCTTGCTATATAAGGTGTTGTGATACGTGGTGTGGTCCGCGCTTGGTGTATATATAGCTTGTGATGTCGTAAGCAGGCAGCCGCTGCGGCAGCCGACGTGGCAGAAGCAAAAGACGTTCCACCATCTGCGGTGGTGACAGCAGAAGTCGCGCCAGCTGAGGTGGGTGACCTCCACTCCATTCGCGAGCTAAATCTGCAGAATCTTTCGGGAGGCAACAGCGAGCGCGCCGGAAGCAGCTGCTGTGGCCAAGGAAGAAGCCACTGCCGAGGCCTGCGGCACCGTGATCGAGTAGGTGCATGTCAAAGTATGTCAAAGGTACCGTACCATGGACTTTTTCGGTTCGTTTTGTTGCCTTTTCAATCTGCCTGACTTTTCACGAGTGCACCTTCGTTTCACTTCGCAAGACACTGCGGTGACTTGCATCCTTTGTGAGGCACCCACGCCGGGGAAGGGCAAGGCAAAGGGTCCCGCCAAGGGTCCTGGCAAGGGCCCGCTTGCCGCTTGCCAGGATCTTTGTTGGGGCTGGAGTGAGGTGTTGGTGAAGGGTCTTCCAGTGAGCTGAGGCGTGTTGTTTGTTGCAAGATCCGTTGCAGAAGTTGTGTGGGGTTGCTGCGCTTCCGTCGTAAGGGAGTGATCCGAGGCGAAAGGGAAGGGCACGGGTGATGTTGCTGCGGCTCCTCCGGATTCGGAGAATGAGCAGAAGGAGGCATCCCGGAATGTTTTTGCTCCCGCCACGGCGCAGAAATCCTCAAATATCTTTTGGTTTGTGTATTGAATTCGCTTGACATTGAGAAACCATTCCAGAGAATGCTCGTGCGATGAGTTCTAGTCCTCGGATGTCAGTGTTCGATGCTGTCAGTCGCCATGCGCACGTCGTGTGTCCGCGGCAGTCGGGGGAGTCCCAATTTAAGCAGGCAGCCACCACGGACGCGGTGGAAGCAAAAGAGGTTCCATCAGCTGCGCCCGCGCCTGCTGAGGCACGTGGCCTTGCCCGCTCCAGTCATGAGGGTGTGTCACATCTCCATAGTTTGCCGCGAGGCAGCGAGCGCACCGGAAGCAGCTGCCCCTGCCGAGGAAGAGGCCACTGCCGAGGCCTTTATCACCGGGATCCAGTACTCGAATGCTGTTTGTCACCACCGGCCTTTCATGAGGGATAGTTGATATATAGTGCGTTACCGGTGCAGCCTCGTGGCCTTCACGAGAGTAACTCTCTCATGTTCGCTTCGCAAGATGCTGCTGTGAACTTGCATCCTTTGCGAGGCTCGGGCAGCAGCGAAGGGCAAGGCCAAGGGCCCCGGCAAGGGTCCCGGCAAGGGCCCACTTGCCGCTCGCCGAACACTGCTGAATTTTGAGGTTTCATGCTTATGCTTGCTAGAGCGAAGTATTGGTCAGGCTGTCTTCGAGTCAGCGGAAGAATACCTATCAGTAAGACTTGGGAAGTTCTGTTCAGAGTTGAGGTCCTTCCTTTACGCGAGACCTTTGTCCAAGATCAGCGCAAGTGAGCTGAGGCGAAGGGCAAAGGCGCTGCTACTGCTCCATCGGATTGTGAGCAGGAGGGGCATCTCCGGACTTCTGCAGCATAGGTGATGGCTCAGGAATCGAGCACTGCAGAGGGCCCCGGTTTTTCCAGAGTGTCCACTCAACAGTGGCGGCTGGCACACCACCAGGTGGAGGATCCCAGCACTAAACCCTACACCCTAAACCCAACACCCTAAACCCTAAACCCCAGGCCCTACACAAGGCAGCCCCCAACATAGCAGACTGGAGAAGTCTTTGCAAGAGAGGAGCAGAGGACGGCCACTCCCAAGACCTTGTATTCCATGTTTTTGCTGCTGAGTCCTAAATTCCTAATTATGTCAGGCGGGCAAGTGAAATGCCACAACTGTTGATGGATGTTGTGCTTGGTCGTGCGCCGCACGCTTCTCTTCTACAGTATTGCAATGTACTCTCACATGTACATGCTTAGCAACCTAAAACCCAAACCCGAAACGTTGAAGGCACTACGTAAGCCATACAGTCGCAGAAGGCAGCTGCAGCAGACGTGGCGGAGGCGAAGCAGGATCCGCCAGCCGTGGCGGCTACAGCAGAAGCAGCGCCAGCCGAGGTCTGAACTCTAAATTATATGGGCCCAAATAACTTCTAAATACCAATACTGTTTTGGGGGCTCCTTGTTATAGTCTAAATCCTAAGAGTCGCCCTAGATCCAAAATCCTTGGTACTTGTGCTTGGCCTTGGAGGCGGGCGCGCCGGGAGCAGCGGCAGCCCAGAGCAAGCAGGTGCACTTCGGGTTGGAAGCCTCGCACGTTCAACCGCATAATGTAGACCCCTGATGAACAGACCCTCTTCTCTTGACCGCGATTATGATAGGTGTCCTCAATATTGGGCCTCAAACAGCATAATGAAAAACCCCGATGAACAGACCCTCTTCTCTTGACTGCGATTATGGTGGGTATCCTCAATAATTATAGCCCTCAAAATGGCTTTGTTAATCAGGGGTTTAGATTAGGGTTTCTAGGGCTCCTCTCAATTCTTGTCTAGACCCTAGCACAAACCCAAGTCGAATACATGGCACATAACAAGGATTGAATTTGGTTGTTACCGTACTATAGGGGCCTAACTAACTTATTACCAATACTATTCCGGGGGTTCCTCATTCTAGTTTTACAGCAAAATATACCCCCAAACCCTACTCTAATCATGAATTTCGCACTATTACCTCCATCTAACTCCTTAGAGCAAGACCCTGCCGAGGCAATTCGGTCCCCTGACCCTTTTTCAGTTGTTGCCGGAACCTAACACTAAACCCGCCGCCCTCCTGTGGCTGATGCGCCAGAGCCCCAAACCGTGAACCTGTCTCAGGATAAGTTTTTGTGAGATTTAGCCTGGGCTTCAGGGTCCCTTCTGGCTTTCAGAGTAACTACTGCAGCTGATTAGGCCGGCTCCATGACACGAGTCAAGGTATTTGTTCAGCTGTTGACGAGGACCCTTTTGCAAAAGAGATATACACGATGTCGAGCATACACCACAGTGCCCTTGGTCTCGAGTTGGGGTCGGAGTTTCGAGGTGAGTCCCTCCAAGCCTATGCGCCACTAAGCCCAAAAACCAACCGGGAACTCTGAACCTTAAGCCTTAAACTCTAAAATTCTGAACACCTACACCAACGGCCGAGAACTCCTCACCCTGAAAGGCTTTATTTACATCGAACTCCTCCATCTTTAAGCCGACTCACTCCGCAAAGGCCCAAGAATCCCTGAACAGAGGCAATGCAGTATACTCCTCGATACTGTAGGTATTGAATAAGCAGCTGTATAAGCGGCTGTACAACCCTTTCCACGAAGCCTAATGCATGGGACTTTCCGAAAATTGGGGGGGTCCCTTGTTTTTGGGTCCTTATTTTCAGGATCCTACTATTTAGGGTACTACATTACGGTGCCCTTTTCTCGGAAATTCCCATATAGAACCCTTATGCAACCCCGGCCATCAATGTTCGCAGCAGGCTGCCGATCCCACCCTTGGCGTTCCCGACTCCTGGCTGGAGGGGTATGGTCAATATGAGCAACCATATACTTAGGGTTTGGGGTTTTGGGTTTAGGAAGGAATTAATCCCTAAACACATAACCCTGGAATAAGAATAGCACAAAGATACGGCGGGAAGCTGCAGCAAAGCGTCTGCCTCTGTCTAAGCATCTCTCATTTTTTAAATCATGTTTTGAAGCAAACATCAGCTTTGCATAACCCCCATATCCGCAAAACCCACCATGGTGCCAGGCTGACCTTGATACATTTAGACCATGAGTTCCCCGAAAGCGTTGGCCGGTGGTGGTGGATGCTGCTTCAGAATAAATGCCCTTGCGTTTCGTGCTAGGGTTTTGGATCTTGAGCCCTGAGCCAAATCTCCAAGCACAAACCCTGCAACGGACACCTCATTGACAAAGGGCCCTTAAACTAGAGAGCTGAAAGCCTGCCAGCCCTGCAAACCCTAAACCCCTAAAGGCCCTAAACCCTCGGCCCTAAAAGCGTACAAACAACTGAAACCCTAACAGTCGCTGAGGTTGACACCTCCTCAGGCCATGGTTGTGGGCATCTCCTGAAAAGAGGCCCTGTCTTTGGCTACAAGTTCCAGTCTCGCCCTTTGCCTGCAAGGGTTTAGGGTTTTGGGGTTATTGGAGTTTAGGGTTTATGGCTTCAGGTTCTTTCCGCTTTCGGGCTTTTGGGTGCATATTTACTGCTGAACGACGCCTTGCTTTCTCCATTTTGCATTTTTCTCATACTTTAGGTCACTTCGCAAGGCAATGCCGGAAGGGCTGGTGGAGGTTTGCTTCAAGGCTTTATGCTTTCGTGTGTATGGAGATTGAGGTAGAGCGAGGGCGTTTTCGGATTCGGGGTGTCGGCCTATGAGGTTCGTCTCGGCAATCCCTCATCTAACGCATGCCACCATCCCATTGAATCCCTCGTCGATGCGACTACCAGAACCGACTCATGACTACATGGATGACCCACAGATAGGGCTGAGACATCGCGCTGACTTTGCAGATGCAGGTGTTTTCAGGTGCCAAGAAACAAACCCTTGAACCTCAAGCCGTAAACCTGAGTAACCTGAGTAGATTGGGGCAAATGCTTGGGCCGTTTATTCTTTACATTGTTCTTTTGGCTCACGGGCAGTTAGGAGGCGTCTTAGTTGACGATTGTTCCCTATGACCTGTGGCCGAGGGTGGTGTCTCCTCACCAACACACAGCTGGTCCTTTACAAAGATGTGCCGTGGCCTCCACATAGCACATGGTGGACAGGGCTTCAACAAGCTGACATTGGGTAATACTAAAGCTATTGCTTTCAAGTACTAATTCTGGTGCTGATATTACTTTTAAGTTCAATACTAATGCTAATCCCAAGCTCCTTCGAATAACTCTGGATTTATGTAGGACCTATACCTAGGGATCCTTGGACAGAGTGAAGAGGGCTCCTGTGTGGTTTGATTTTTAGGGGCTGATACCACTACCAATTTAGGGCTTAGGGTACTAATGGGTTGCATCCATGCCACAGGCTGCAAGGGTTCCGGGATTTGAGGCTCTTGGGTTCAATTGTTGAGAGATCTTGCTGCCCTTCGATCCGAAGGAAGCCATTTCGCGCCTGAAGTTGTTTCCCCAGATCCGCCTCATTGGCTATGCGACATACTTCAAGAGTTGACAGACAACTAACCCGACGAGTGGTACGAAAGAATAATACGAATAATTAACACTGGCAAAAAGATTAGTGTACTGCTGGTTTTGTTGTTTCCCACGAAGTTCCTGATTCTGGTTTCTTTTGCTTCCTGAAAAGATGTAGGATTCGTTGTGAATTTTGGGAATCTACAGCAGGGTTTTCGACATAAAGAATTTCTGGCTCAGGTCGAACATAGGGGTTAACATTCAGGGTTTGGAGTTTTAGGTTTAGGGTCCGCCCTCAACACCAAGCCTTTGCGTCGGGAGTTGAATCCCTAGATCTCAAACTCCCATCGGCAATCGGCAGCCGACATCATCAGCGTCAACCTCATGGGCAGTTGGGCTGTGTGGAGCACTACCGTTCTTCTATCCATGCTCACTGCATACAGCCCACTCAAAGCCTTTGTCGAGGCTTGCACAGAGTTGGAAATCGAGCCAGCATTTGTGGTTAGCGATTACAGAATGTTTGTGGAGCTGTACACGGCGCTCATGGAGAGATATGCAGCATCTCACCGTGACGAGCTCGACGCGGAGCGAATCCCAATCCCCAGGATCGTCCACAGGATGGCGCTCCATGTGCCCGTCTCGCATCACGCCTCTGCAAAGTACGTAACACACACCACGTCTTTGTACGGCCGCTCTGCAAACGTAGCGGCCGGGTGCTTTGCAATGGCTGTGTTCGCCGAATTCGAACACCCTATACTTGTACCCTAGGCCCCCCTTAAATCCCAAGCCCCTTCTGCCGAACCCTCATGAACCCTGTTCAAGACTTTATAGACCCTTCTCACAGCCTCTTGCAACCCTATCGAAACCCGAAGCCGCGCAAAACCTTAGACCCGATGATGAGGAGAACTTCACACAGAGGCTGAGCGTGGAGCGTTTGACCCCTGCAGCACCTTGGCGAGGACCTTTCCAAGGTCCTTGATGGGGGTTGAGGGGTCTGATCGGCCAATTTGGGCTTGTTGAAAGCAGGTTTTATGAAGTTTCATAATGGCTTAGAGGATTTATAGGGAAGATGTTAAGGTCTCAGGCACTTCAGGTTGTCAGGGGTCAGGAGATGAGGGCTTAGGGGCGTGAAAAGTTTTCAATGTTCAGGGCTGTCGGATGGTGGGGTTTGGCATAGCTTCGGAGTGTGTAACTTTATGGCGCGTAGGGCCTTAAATGAAGACTCCATAAGCTCTAAACCGAAACCCAACGCCTCTCTTGAAGACCAAATCGTTTCACACTCAGGCGCGTGCCTTCAAGTTCTCACGGCACGATGCACCGGGCGAGGCCTTGTTTTGCTCTTCCCGGCACCAAGTACCCACAACCAAAGTGGGTTTGTAGGCACCTGTTTAGCAACATGTAAACCACCACAGAAACGCCCAACAACTTCTGTCATCATGGTGCAAAAAGGGTTTCCACACTGGGAATGTACCGTAGCCAGGAGGTTCTGTACTTCATCTCCCGTGATGGTAAGATCAGGGCCGCCAGCCCTACACGCTAATTCTTATTGTCCAAGAAACCCTGATCTCCCTATAAATCCTAGAAAATTGCGGTTCCAGGCGCCCTTCATGAAGAGAAATAGCCTTAGCGCAAGAATTATCATTCGACTCTTCTGCCGTAGCCCTGTAGTCCAGCACTCCTTATTTCTGGTCATCAAAGTTTCAGTCTGCGGAATTGAGGGGATCATTCGCAGCTGGGAAACGGGGAGTAATGAGGTTTTCTGTTTGCTGAGATCGCATGCTTCTCTCACAGAGAAGGCCCACCTGAAAGCACTGCGGTAGAATCCTGAAGCCCTACATAAATCCTGAACCCTGAAGCCGGATCTCTTCAACGTCTGTGCAGGCTGTGAAGCACAAAGCGGAAAAGCCTTTCGGTGGCCCTGCTGCAAGATGGAGTTTCCGGAAATTAGGGGTACCTTTTTTTGGTGTCCTTAAAATAAGGATCCTACTATTCAGGGTACTATATTAGGGTCCCCTATTTGCGGAAGCTGCCAGATCACACCCGTCCCACTTTGGGACTTATCCTTCTTGATGTAGGGCCGGCCGGGGGCTTCCTAGATGTTGTTGTGTTTACCTTTGCTGTCATGTGAGTGGTTGGCATAATTAGGGTCCCTTTTTGGGTACCCTAAATATTAGGTGCCGTAGCATAATAGGGACCCAAAAAGGGACCCTAATTTTGACAACCACCCATGTGCACGATTGAAGGTTCGGCATAGGTGGCTTTGGGGTGGGTGATCGAGCGAGACATGATTTTTGCTATTCGTGTACTTCGATATGGTAGTTGGTACTATGTTACGACCAAATGGAAGATTTATAATATTGTTATTACTATTCTTATTGTTACTACTCTTGTATTTGATAGAAACACATGAATGATTAATTGAGAGGTTTCGTCTTGGATTCCGATCCATCGGCCGGCAAGACCCGAAAGCTCTCCTACTTCGACGCATCTCGGCTTCGGGAGTTTAGGCTTTAGGAGTTTAGGGTTTAGGAGTTTAGGGTTTAGGAGCTTAGGGTTTAGGAGTTTAGGGTTTAGGAGTTTAGGGTGAGATTTTCGGGGTCGGGTTCGGGATAGTGGGGTGTTTGGGCTTTAGGGTTAGCAGGGTCTTTTCAGGGGTTTAGCGTCAGAAGGGCTCTAGGGTTTGGAGCTTCAAGGATGTGGAAGTTGAAGCTAAGCAATTCTTTCGAGGTTTGCGGTTCGGGCGAATCTCGGAGTTTCGGGTTTAGCGTGCTTCTCAGCTGATTGTTGAAAGGATCCTTTGGCGTGCTACATGGCTTCGCTCTTTACGCTTTTCGTTATAATGAACGAGTCCTACGATCTAAAGCCTTAGGTTTTTGATTTCAGTTCTTGGGGCGCAGCAGCGCCTGGGTTTTGGGTATAGGACATACAGGACCACAGTTTCCAATTTTGTGGTTAAGGGTCTTCTTTTATTGACATGCTGTAGCTACCGATAACTGGGTTTGAGCCGTGTCTTCTGGCGTTCAGCCAGAAACTGTGTTTGCAAATCTAGCAATGCTGGAGGCTAGGCAGCTTTCAGGTATGGGCTTGAAATAGCTCGCGAGCTTTGGGCATGTCTTGGGCTTGCAGGGTTAGGGTATGGCAGGGCTGAATGAAGGTCAAGAATCGTGCTGCATAAGGGAAGGGGGCGTGCTATTCTGGGCGAGTCGAACTCTGGCTGCTGTTGCTTCCATCTTGACGATGCGGACGACTGTATACCTAGTGCCATCGCTACTTGGTACTAGTGCGGTTGGTTGTTGCGCGCGTTTCCATCTTCACTGCTACGCTATCTGCTTCAGTCAGCAGCTTCAGTTCTTCTACTATTCGGAAAAGCCGCAAAGTTCATATCGTGTCATCGTGAAGGACCGAACAGTCTTGCATCATCTACTATCCCGCGTGGTGGCATCGTGATCATTACGGTTACTCTGCTGCCACATGACATCTTACCCCGAAAGTCGCGAAACCTTAAAGCTTACACGCCAACGAAACATCATCAGCGTGCTCCTCCCTTGCGCCATTCTCAAGCGTAAGGTCAGAGTCGTCATCATGCTCGTCATACATAGCCTGGGACATTCCCTAAAACTTGGAACCTAAACCTTCAATGCCAAACCTTAAGCTCTAAACACCACGTAACAACGCATCCTCATGAGTTGTGATATAAGTAGATACGATGCAGCTATGCTTCCCTGACCCAAAGCCCGCTTGCTAATTCCCATGTTCGTTTAGTAAACCTATATACCCCTAAGCCCTAACATGCGTAAAGTAGTTCTCTGTGAAGACACGCTGGTGAAGCCGAGGCAGAGAGTGAGGTCGCTTGCCTGCTGAGATGCATCACTTGGCTCTGGGGGCGGGGCGGGGGGGTTACGAGTTTATGGCTCGCCCTTGTGGGCTTGAAGTCTTCAGGGCGCGCTTCAGCAGGGCTTTAAGGCTTTATTGCTTGGGATTCTTAGGGCTTTATGGGGGTTATGGAGGTTTAGTTATGGTTTGGGGCGTTTGGGCTGTTTCAGGGTTTAGGTCTTCATTGTACACGGTACAGCATCGCAGCCACAGTGTTTGGCTACTCATCGGCGTCATCGGTTTAGCGTTACATGTGGATTTCAATGTGGATACTTGCCGTTGCTGTTTTGTTTGCTGATGTGATGGCGAGTCATTTTGTAACGATCGTGTGCCGGATTAATACAGATCATGTTGAGGTTGTAGCCCAGCACAAGATGTTGCATGTTTCTCCTTCTGTCCCTTGCTATCTCTCCGTCTTTCTCGCACTGTCTGACTCTTCTCTCTCCCTCCCTCTCTCTCTCTCTCTCTCTCTCTCTCTCTCTCTCTCTCTCTCTCTCTCTCTCTCTCTCTCTCTCTCTCTCTTTCTACCTACCTACCTACCTACCTACCTACCTACCCTTTATACATCTGTGCGTACGTGCATGTACATTATATATATATATATATAATACATGCTGATACGAGGTGAAAGGAGCTTGTCAAAGCAAGGTGCTTGGATAAGATACTTGTAGGTCAAGCACCACCCGAGCCCTGAAAAGCGTATTTCCGTAGGGCTTCTTGTGATGATGGCCATACATATGTTCCAAGCAAGATAGGCTCTCGGGGGTCAAGGTTTACTGCTGAAGCAAGCTTCTCGGCATAATGGCCACACAGCACAAACACCGACACTCGAAGCCCTAAATCCCCAAAGCTCCAAAACCCCTAAACCCTAAATCCCTGAAGCTCCAAAGCCCCGAAACCCTACACCCTAACAACCCCAACTCCAAAGCCCTAAAAACCCTCAAAAGACCCTAAACCCTGAAGCCGTGAAGTCCCAAACATCAAACCTCCGAGTCTCGCCTGCAGAGCTTTAGCTCTGGGTATCTCACTAAAAGCCCCTGTGAAAAGGTCGTTTCTATAGAAACCTCAATAATTCGTGAGTGTTTGTTGGTCCATTAACGAGTAAACAATGGGCAACCAATGATGCTATTCCTGAGGGTTCCATGCTAGAATCATCCTTTATGTAGCCCGAGACCCTCTTCTAGCTTCTCGAGCCCCGGTACGATACATTTCGGCTTTTACGGGTCAAAGTTAGGTCTCTTAAACCCTTGGCCCTCCCAGTTCCCATCCTGGGTTTCTGGGTTTTAGAGCTTAGGGTTTAGGGTTTAAGCTTATTGGGTTTTAGAGTTGGTATGCTCAGCTTCTCAGTCTGAGGAGACCTTGTCGTTTTGGCTGAAGGCCCTTGCGCAGGCCCGCTTACCCTTCTCGGATGTTCGCCTATCTGGCAGTAAGGTCATAGGTCGTTGGGGCTTCAAGTTTCAATGCAGGAGCCCTCGATGCAAATTACGGGGTTAGGTATATGGGTTTAATATGAACATGTAACAGAATAAACACGCAAGCAGACAGATACACACACACACGGGTATACGACTTCTTTGCCGATCGCTTAGGGGTTAGATAGAGCAGTCTGTTACATAGTGTGTTTTGTTCATTTTTATGACGAGGTCTTCTGCTAGACAAAGGCTTTCGATTATATGTATGTATACACTACATGATAAGAAGATATACACACATACATGGTGAATTTATGTCCGTGCGAACTTGGGTATTGATTTCAAAACGTGTCAAGTCATTATGATTTTGCGGCTGAGGTTGGCTCAAGGATCTAGGTCTTAGCATCTTCGGCTTGCGGATTAGCCGTTTAGCATCCTGGGCTTAGGTCAAGTTCGGGGTTTAGGGTTTAGCACCTTCTGTTTCGTCGTTTACTGTCTGTTGGAGCAGAACTCCCCTTTGGGACCTTGGACGGGTGAAGAGCTTCGTATTTCGATGTTGCCAGGACTGCTCCTGAATTCAGGAATGTTGGGGCCCTGGGTCGGTAGGTTTGGTTCGCGATTCGTGTTGGGGTCTCGAGAGGTGATTATCATCCTTCGGGGGCCGTTTCTCAGGATCAACACGAGTGGAAGCAGAATAAAACACTACTGTATAAAGCTACTGTTGATGATATAAATCCTGCATTATCTTAAGGAGCCGAGACTATGGGAATTATGGTATATTCCTTATTATGGGTAATGCAGGATTTATATCATCAACCGTATCATCCGACAGCTTCGGCTCGAGGCTCTAGGCTCCAGCAGACTCCGACCTCTGGGGTTCGACTTCTAGCTTTCTCTCTTTCTCTTTGGCGCAGGTCGCAGAGCGTCGGTTGCAGGTGGGGAGGGGGGGGGGGGGGGGGGAAGCCTGGAGAGGATCGGAAGCTGAGATGAGTGTCTGCAAGGGTTCAAAAAGTCCTATGTAGGGAGTGTGGTTGACGGGCTGTCGGTTTTACCTAGAGGGTCCAAGTAGCCGAATATAGCGCTGGCTGGTGCAGAGTACTGGTGCCAGAGCCTTGTACTTGTTAGGCACTTGACGGACTGTTGCTTTCTCCACAGCAGCCCCCAGCCCTCCTTTGTTCTACTAATGGCTGTCTACAGGGAGTGTATCAGGGTTTGTTTTGCAGTATCAGGGGATCGGCATTATCATAAGCTACTAGCTGTTACTAGCTCGGGGGGCCTGAACGTCGACCAACCTTCACTAAAATAATTTCCATCTGTGCATCAAGATTTGGTTTCGAATTGAGAAAACCCTGAGCCGCAGTCTTTCCGAAACAAAGTAGGCAAAGCTTCACTAAATGACGGGAAACGCATCAAATTTCGCAGCTTTAGAATTCTGTAGAATATGAGGAGCACTCTGTCACAAGTTGTTAGAGCATTTGCTGATCCTTCTAGGACCACTAATGTATAACTGAAATTCGAATCTGTAGAACCTTCGACAGACCAATTCCATATAGAATCGTAGGGGCCTCAGCAGTGCTGCCCGCCCCGGTCGGAGCCGGGGCTCTATGTCAGAATGTATTGGGTGCCCTAGCCGGAAACTGCTGGAAACGCCAGGTTCCCAAATGAGTGGAGACTGTTTGGCAGGGGTGTCTTACGTGTTCTTTGTTAGGACTGTGAGATTAGTAGTTTGTAGTGTCTTGGTCAATTCTTGCCACGAGCCTGAAAGCCTAAACCTTACAGACCCTGGTTCAAAGGATGCAGTTTCAGAGGTCAGTCTTGATGGTCTGGCTGAAGGACAAACCAAAACGTTTAGGGTGCATGGAAGTGCAGGCTATAAACTTACAGTGGTATGTGGTTCTGGCTTAAGAGTTTAGGGTAAGGAAGTTTAGGGATTGGGGAAGCTAAGTATTTAGGGCTGAGGGAGGTCATCAATCTTGTCATTGTGGGTTGCGACGCGACTTTTCTGGAGGCCGTGACGCTGCACGTCTACGACATCCTTGGCCCCGGCCAGCATGCAGGTCGGCCTTCAAATCTCTGCAGTTCGAAGGCATGCGAGGCGAAGACAGAAACCCAAACCAGCGTGTACCCTTTATGTACAAATATGTGTGTATATATGTATATATAGTTATATATGCATGCATGTCTCGATATATGTGTGCGCGCGTGTGTGTGTGTGTGTGCATACAAGTCCGGTGGGGTTGAACTTATAGAGGCTATCGAGTTCCTGCATGCGTCAAGTGGTTAGGCGGTGGGGAGAAAGACGCTGAACAAAACCCACAAAAGCTTACATCCCTACGATCGTCCAGGCGACAATGGAGCTGTTGAACTCCGAGGCTGTGATGGCACAGGGACCCGCTGATGTCTTTCGCCGGATGATTGGGCTTGGGGCTTAATTAAGGTTTAGGCAGGGATTTGGGTTTACTTGACGTGTTGAACGGGGGATTGTTGTGCTTGACGAGACCTCTTCCCTTTTCAGGGCCTACAAAAAGGGCCTTGATAATTACCTATACTATTTTGGCGGTTCCTGATTATAAGCATAGTACAATATCCCCCATAACCCTATTCTAGTTACTAAGGCCCCTATAGTACTCTATAGTATCCCTTATAGCAGCCCCCATAGACCCCGTTAGAAGGGAACCTACTCTAAATATCAACGGCCCTATATTATCAGCCTACATCCCAGCCACAAACCTGACATTCCCGGCACGCCTTCTTTGGAGGCACCGGCGCTTTCCATTTGGGCCTGGAGGTCGCAGGAGCAGAGCGAGGGTGAGGGTTTGAGGGTTGCTTAGCTTTATAGCTTCGGGGTGGGTAGCTTTGTTTAGTTGCGGCCCCGAGCCGAAACCTCTCAAACACAGCCCTCAAGTTTCAGAGTTCAGCCCGAAAGCTCGAGAGCCAGTGCCCAGGCATACCGAATGAAGATCGCACAGGAGGTTCTCAGGGTAAGGCTTTAGGTCAGGGCTCAGGATTTTGGAGCTTCGGATAAGACGTATAAGAATTAGGGTGATATTGTTCGGCGTATTCCCAACTCTAAGAATCTATTCAGGGCTGCGGTGAGGTGGGGTGAGCTCCATGTCGTTTGTGCTTCAAACCCAAACCTCCTTGGCAACTGCAAACTGTAGACCCTGGGCCAAGTCCCTGAGGCCACCTGAAGACCCAAGAACCGGCTGAGCCCGTGACCACGGCTTTGGGGTTGAGGTTGGGGTCTCGGGTTTTAGGGTTTAGGGAGTCTTCGTCTTCGGGATGCAGGGGTGGAGACCTGCAGGTGTTGCCACCTTCTGGTACCGAACTGCTGGGGTATTGGGTTGCAGACGATAACTCAAGATAGATAGTTAGACTAGCTTAGATTAGTCTAGACTTGGATTATGTTATTAGATAGGTTGGACAAATTAGATCGATAGATAGACAGACAGGTAGTCACAACTCACCACAAATGTATGTATGTCTGTACTGTACATGTATGTTCAGTAACCGATGCACCCCTGTCACAACCGAAGTACCAGAATAAGCGAGCATATCAAAAAGGAGGTGATCTGTTTTCCTCATTACTTTAATGGTAAATCAAGTCGAACTAATTAATCCAGCAAGAACTGCCCGAAGGACTGGAGTGGAGTTATGGCTATGCAGAGTCTGGCACAGGTGCAGTTGCCGTGGCAATGCATCTTGTAGACTTACGCCCTGATATCTTTGATAGAGGCTGTGTAGTCATCAATAGCTGGTCTTGCGGGTACAACAGAGGGCAGGTGGGGGTCCAGATCAGTTTGAAGCCAGTCGGGGATCAATGATTTCATTGCGGAGTTGGGACTGCGCGTTGGGAACCGCACTTAGACCTATGTGCAGGCTTGACTCTTGTCGGAACATGCGGTCGCTTATTCTAGCGTTTGTGAGAATCAGCAGCTACGGCTCAGGGCAGTCTCAGTATGCATAGTACCACAACCACGAGCAGCAAGCACTGATGGCTCAAGAGCTGACAGCAGGCGTCTTCCAGTATTCTCCCCTGGGCTGCGAAGCTCACAGTTACCGTCCCTCGGCGAGATTCAATTCCAGAGCGAGCTTGGCTGCTCCAAGCATTCCTATATGAGTCGATAGTCCCTGTATCCCTAAACCAGCCCCAAAACCCCTAACCCCAAAGCCACAAGTCTGAGCTACTAAACCCACAGCTCATAGTCGTGTAAGGACCACTTTGAAAGGAACCCAAGTTTATCACAAATGTCCGACAGATGCAAAGTGCTTTCTTTCTCACACTCAGTTTCAGGACCCAAAGCTTAAGTCTCTGGACGATGGTCGCCAGACCCCAAAAAATCCGAGGTCCGGGATTGAAGGTACATGTAGTGCTTAAGGGTAGTATAGGGCTGGTGGTTCACTTCAGCACCCCAGATACCCTGCATTCCCGCTTTGCGATTGGAGAATCTCAAGCAAGACATATGAAACCCATATGGCCAATATGGGCAATCCAAACCTTCATACTTTGATGTTGACGCGATTGGCCCATAGGCTATCCGAATGGGTATTTCAGAAGGTAATCTCAACCCGAAGCGGTACCCAGGGTCCCTCAATGAGGCAGAAGAGATTTTACAAGGACATTTTGGTGGTTGGTGGCAAGACTCTAAACCCTAAACCCTAAACCCCCTGGCGGAGCCACGTCTTCCGTCACATGAGGTGTAAATAAAAGGGCGCTGGAAAGGCTTTACGGGAGTTTGTGCGCCAAGGCTGCCACGTTAGAAAAGCTCGGCCCCAAAACAATCTCTATCCTAATTGAAGAGGCCCACCACCCCGCGCAGCAGAACAAAACGAATCACACTATGAAACACCAAAGAACTAGCCCGCGACTGAAGGTGGTGTGGTCGAGCTCGGCTACACGCAGCTGGACGCCGAAGAGGCCTTGGTCAAATGTGAAGTGTTGAGGACTTGGGGACGAGATGTAAAGCTGAAAGTCGTGAGTTCTGCTTTCGTAGCATAGGCAGGCGAAGCATGTTGTTTTGTACCTATGTAGTGGTAACAGTATTAGCAGAAGTAGCAGCAGTCTAGTCGCCATAGCAGCAGTAGTAGTCGTCGTCATCGTTGTGCAGCAATCGTTCGTCGTCGTTGTTGGCTAGGGATGAAAATCCCTAGGCCCTAGGCCGAGATTCTCAACTCTAAGCCTAAGCCCTAGCACTAGAAAACTACATTCCAAAAAGCATCAATTACTCTTGGATCGGGAGGCACTGGCTCGCGTGAGAAGCTTGCAGGAGGCTTGGAAAGGCACAGACTATGCCACCTGGATTGCGCTGGTACGGTTTAGAAGTTGAAGTTTGGAGTAGATGGCTTGGGGGGTTATTCGGGTTTCTCGACGTAAGGCATTTAGTGGTCCTTTGCTTTCAAGGGGTGCGCTAAAGTTTCCATTATTTCGGACTTACATGTGCTTTGGGTTCCTTATTTTTGAAGTTCATACCTAGAGGTTTAGGCTCAGGAGCTTCATGACAGATTGGCGTTTAAGTAAGGGCTTGAGTCGAAACTCGCACGTACATATGTCTTGCACCTCAATCGAAAATCACTCGCCATGTTTTGACCATTGTCCTTCGAAGATCCTGACGAGCTCATAGAACTCGAAGCAGGTATCCCCCTAAACTCTAAACCCTTAACCCCTAAGCTCTCAAGAGACAGTAGTAGTCAAGGATCCGCTTCGACACAGCTGCTGCGATTTCGTGACGGCGGCCTGCGACGCGCTTGGCGCCGCGAGGCTGGATCGTCGCACAATTATATACATATGTATATATATATACATATATATATATGTATGTATATATATATATACACACACATATATGTTATACACACAGATACATAGACCTTGATATTTCTGCATGTATGCATCATGTATGTAAGCATGTATGTGTATATACATGTACTTACATATCACATATCCCCTTTGCCTTTTCCGTGCGTCATGCCGCCCTGCCCTAGAGTCGCAAGAAGACTTAACTGAGACTCTCCACGCGGGCTCTTCATACCGAATGAACTTTAGCGAAACGTCGTGCATGTACCTGCATACATATGCCTACATATATATATATATATATATATATATATATATATATGTGTATATATATATATATATATATATCTATCTGTCTATCTATGTATATATATATATATATATAAAGTGTATTTACAACCTATATATATATATATATATATATATATATGCAGTAAAGAAGCCCCGAAAGGGATTCCTAGTGTTCTGAAACTCCTTGTTGCTGATTTCGTGGGATAAGTAGAAGTCAGCTATAGCCCAGCATCATCTCAAGCAGCCGCAAGACAGATGCCAATTTCAAAGAAACATAGTGGTGTTGAGAATAATTACAACCATACAACCATCCCCTGCTGCGCTGACGATGCCAGCAAGGATACGAACGAAAGCAGTAAATGCTAAACCTGTAGATCTAAAGCTTGTGGCCGTGGATCTCAGAGCTTGAAATGCTCGGAGAAGAGATCTGATTGACGATACTAAGGTAAACATAGAACATGCGGTGGACCATAGTTCGTGTTTACAGGCACTGTGAGGGCACGTCATGTTACTTTTTGAAGGTCTCGATTCTTTTGTTGCAGCTGCCAGCCACCTGTCGGCCGACCTGCTTCGAATTGTGCTTCCTAGCCGGTAGAGGACCCTTGAAGGAACCATGAGTGGAAAAGGAACCTAAAAGGATTCTTCAAAAGAACTCATTGATTTGAAGGGGCTCACTGTATGGGCAGTTCTCTAGATTAAGGCCTGGTTAGGGCCCCTGTTCAGGTCCCCAAAAATAGTACGGCACCCTTAAACGGACCCGAACAGGGACCCTGTTTTTAAAGAACTACCCGCATTTTGCAGTATCTTGGAAACGTCAGATCGAGCGACGGCTGGCAAGGTCATAAGCACCCAAAATCCGGACCCTACAACCTTCGATCTGAACCTCCAAGATAAGTTTAGGGTGAGGGTTAGGGCTTAAAGTTGTGCAATCTAGTCAAGCCCTAATTTCGGCCCTAGACCTGAAACCTTAAAAGTATAAAACGCATAAGCCCCGACCTTTTTAATCAAGCCCCACATGTCAGAGTTCTTTCGCGACTTTGGGATCAGCAGGTTCTTATACCCCCCCTTTAAGAAAAACCTAGAGACCCCGAACCGAAGACATGCTCCCCACCCATAAACTCAAAGCCCTTGCTAAACCAAAGACTCTCAAGCCCTGCGGCCCCCAAGCCCGTAAGCTCACAAGCACTCATCTCGTGCGAAAGAACCCCTCAAACCTTAAAACCAAAACCCCCAAAGCCCTGCAGAGACCGTAGAGAACCTGTGTAGCACCCTTACAGACACCTTATAAGGCCCTATAACCCCAAACTCTAAGTCGTTAAACCCTAACCCTCTATCTATCTCTCTCTCTCTCGCTCTCTCTCTCTCTCTCTCTCTATATATATATATATAATGCATATATATATATATACATAGCCCAACGACGTTTGGCTGCCATGCTCCTTTGCCGCCTGCGGCCTGCCGCGCTCGGGAGAAAAGAAGTTTCGCAGCAGCCCGAAGTCCGGGATGCCGTGGCAGAGATGCTGCTGAGGCTGTTAGGGTTTAGGGTTTAGGGGTTAAGGGTTTAGGGGTTTAGGGTTTATAGGGTTTAGGGGTTTAGGGTTTAGGGTTTAGGGGTTTAGGGGTTTAGGGTTTAGTGTTTTAGGGGTTTAGGGCATAGGTTTCGGGGGATTTGGGCTTCAAGGCGTGGGTTTCGGGGATTTGGGGTTCAGGGTGTGGGTTTTAGGGATTTGGGGTTTAGGGCGTGGGTTTTGGGGATTTTGGGTTAAGGGTGCTGGAGTTTGGGGATTTGGGGTTTAAGGATTTGGGTTTAGGGGATAGCGGTGTAGCAGGGTTTTGAGGTTTAGGGTTTACGACGTAGAGTTTGGGGGATAGGGGTTTAGGAATTTGGGTTTAGGGTGGTGGGGTTTAAGGTTTTGCGGTGTAGGGTTTTGGGCGTAGTGGCTTGGGAGTTTGGGTAGACGCCTATAAGCTTTATACCCAACCCTTGAATTCTGAACATCCTGGAGCTAGGAGTTTAGGGGTTGCAATCAGAAGCTCGAAACCTCCTGCATGCGAACCGAATACACTAAACTCGTGGGTCCATACCTAGCCTTCGTGAAGCCACGTTACGCGTGTGAGGCTGGAGCGTGGTGTCAGCCAGGACGAGCACGGCCAGCGCTTTGCCTGCGAGCTGAATCTCACATCCCTGCCAATCATCCCAGGCTCCGGGACTTTGGGGTTCGGGTTTTCGGAATGAGGGTCTGAAGAGATATAGGGTTGAGGGTTTAGGCTTTGCCTCAAACTCTGACCCCAAAGCCTCCTTCAGTTTGTAGAGATATGCCCAGCATCGCCAAACCTAAGCTCTTGGGGTCTACGGCCAGATTGCATGACTTTCCTGAAGAGCCCGACTTAGTCTCTCCAGGCCAAAGCTTGCATGCGTAGTACGATCATTCTTGGAGCGTCTTTGTACTTCGTGTGCTGATAATAAACCTCGCGGGTGTTTTCTCCTTGCTTGTGATCTGGCCCGAAATATGCCCAGAACCGCAAACCCGAAGCCCTATACCCGAACGCTGAAATTTCAACATGGTTCAAGCCCACACACCATAAACCCGCAAGCGGAAACTGCAAACCCGAAACCACAAACCAAGAACACCTAAAAGTCAAGACCTAGCACTGGCCTACGCTCTTCAAGTCTCCTCGACACTGACCCGGTCGAACATATCCTAATCAAAAGGCCTGTCGAGCCCTGAACTATTGAAGCCCACCACAACACAGCAGAATTCCTAAAGAACCAACGCACTTTGCACAGAGCGGGCATTACCCCTTCAGGAAGGCACAAACCACCTTGAGAGTCCTAGTTTAATGTCTGGAATATCAAGCTCCCCGTGGGACAGAACCCCAGCTTTTTCTTGAACTCCAACCTACAGACACTATACTGTAAAGCCCGTATCAAGCTTTCTAAAGCCCTTGGCAGCAGCATACAACCTTAACTCGAAATTCAGAATCTGAGCAAAGCCCCAAAGCCTAGACCCCATATGTTCCGAAGCACCCTAAACCCCAGCGAACCGATCTCTTAGCCGTGAGGGCCCCGGCTTGCAGCTGCGGCCTGCAAAAAGTTGGGACCTCCTTGGGCTTTTCCCAGCTACTCGGCCGGTGGGGTTCTACAGAAGTTCTGGACGAATCTATTACGGTTCTGCAAGGGTATGCAAGGGTTAAACTGTCAGGGATCTAATTTATTTACGGAATTCCAAGGTTTCGAAGAGATTTCTACAGGGTTGGGTTTACAGGGTTTAGTGTTTCAGTTTCCGCACTGGGCTTAGGGTTGAACGTTACGGGTTGAGTTGGTTGCTTGAGAACTGGACGTCTTGGGTTAAGGCTCAGGTTTCGCGTGCGGTGTTTGTTCTGTTGTGGGGCTTATGTTCTATTTGTCATTTTTGGGCGCCGGTAGATCTAGGTTTTCGGGTTTTGGAACTTGGGCTGTAGCTGTTTGGGCGTGGTTTAAGTTTCTTTGCTGAAGCATCAAGCGTATGGTTGCAGTTTCAGGCAATGGAAGGGACCCTGGAAACTTCAAAACCTTGAGGCACCCCTTGACGTCTTCAAGCCCAAGGCAGTTCGGGGTGGGTTATTTAGTCTACTGCGGACCTAAGCTTCAGAACACTTATGTTGCGCTTCAGGTTTCGAAAGTTCCTGAAGCCAAAACTCCCGGAACTTGGGCTTCTGTACCCATAGGCCCCAAAGTAGTTTACCTTATAGGATTCTACATACGAACCCCAAAAAGGAACTACTTTGGGGTCTCAGGGTAAGCAACGGAGGATCGAGGATTAAAGCCGCCAAGGTCCTCACCACAACAAGCATCCCGGTTTAGGGTTTAGGGCTATTTGTCAAACCTCACGGACCCAGCGGCCCGAACCCTCAACCCTGGCCCCCAACAACCACGACATAAGACCCAAACCCTCAACCTTTAGCCATCCTGGTCCTAAGCCCTAGAGCCTGAACCCTTAAATCTTACCGTTGGTTAGTAGGGAATGGAGGAATGGGGTGTAATTCTAACTATTATTACTACCATTCTTCCATTCCCTACTAACCAAAGGTAAGAAATCCCCTCTACCTTGCGGTTGTGCAGGGATAGATTCGGCTCGTAGGTTCCACGATCTTCTTGTGGCAAACACGTCCCATGGATTGCTCAGCGTAACCCGGAGGCCCTAGACCCTGAAATCCCCGTTTAAGCCCTCCTAAGCCCTCAACCTATAAACCTTCCAGTCCTAGGAACCCTCAACCTCTAAACGTGATCGCAAAATCTAGACCGAGGCTTCGGCCGTTGTCATCTCGTGACTCAGGACGCCCGGAGGGGTCGCAGCGTCTGTGTTGGAGCGCAGGATTCAGGTGTTTTTGGATTCATGCTTTAGGGTTTCCTTCACAGCATAAATCCACAAGCCGTACGGCTTTAACCCCACCCCAGCCCTATGACAACCCCAACGCAATACAATCCAAGAGCTTTGAGGACGTCCAGTCGCTTGGTCAAGAAGAGTTGGACTCAGCTGCTCCTCAGTCACTAATTATTTAGCCTCTTCCGAGTTTCGGGTTTGGGGGTTACCAGGACTTGTTACGGATCTCGTCTCGATAGTCACTTTGTGTTCTCTTCCTGTCTGGGGGCCAGGTACGGGACGCCATATTCAGCACTGTCGCTGCGGCACGGGCGGAAGGCTTCCATGTTCAAGTCTGCCGCCATGACCTTTTCCACGGCCACCTGTTCCGTGGTGAAAACGGGGAGGTTGGCATCTTGCTTCATGCCTGTGAGTACCCGTCGCAGAACGATGACTTTCCTGTGAATCTGGGCTTCTGCCAGGCAGACACTGAGGTGGGAGGTGCAGAAAGTACCAGAATCTAAAAACCTTGTTTCAGAGTGAGCTGAGTTGGATCCCCAGGTGAAGTACGAGGATGCGGTGATGCAGCACCGCAACATTCTGCTCCTCTTCTCTCGACCTCTTCGTGCCTTCGTCCTCGATGCCGAGTCTGATTGCGTTAAGGCGCTGATTCCCGAGTACGCCCGAAAGCCGATGTACACACTCTACGAAGACACCCTGGGAGAGCCTTTGGCGGACATGTACTTCTTGTCGAGCGAAAAGAAGCTTGGCTGGGTGCAAAGACGCAGCTCCAAGGTGCACCTGTGACGATCGGCTTGAGCCGTGCGCAGGAAAAGAGCAGGGTCCCAAAGGGTCCAAGTAGTAGTATGGGATATACTTTGGGGGCCCCAAATACCTACTAAGTACCTACTATAATGGTACTTAGACCCTTTGGGGGTATCGGCGATAACAGAAAACTCCTCCCATAAACCTCGTTGCATTCTCTGAGCCTACACCCTCAAACGGCCCTAAATCCTCCAGCTCTATAAACCCTCTACCCTAGGGCGATTACCTTACAGGACTCTATATACGAACCCCAAGAAGGAACTACTTTGGGGCTTATTTGTAAACATCATTCGAAAAGCCTTACATCAGATCATTTTCCTCAGGCCGCCGACTTGGGTTCGTGACCTGGGCGCTGCAGGAGCGACTCTCACTGGGGGTCGCCTGGCCGCCTCTTCAGAGACGCGGGGACGTTTTGGGAGTGTATAGAGGGTTGAGTTTAGGGTTTATGGTTCGGAACTTAGAGGAACAAAAGCATCAGTAGTTGGGTGTTGTGGGAGTTGAGTTTGGTGTAGAGTGTAGTTCAGGTCAGGGCTTTGGAGGGTCTAGGGTCTGTCTAGCGCCTGCAGGGTGCAGTGCTTCAACGGCTGCTGTGGAGTTTATGGGTTGGAGAGTCTACAGTTTGAAGTCTTGTGCACAGGTAAAACCCTATTATAAACCCCTAAACCCTAAACCCTATTGTCTGTATAAGGGTTTCGGCGGCTCAGGGTCGAGGCCTTGGGGTTTTCGAAAAATGTTAGCCTTAAAGGGAACTCCAGAAAGTTGGAATATGGTTTCAGGGTAGGATACCTTATAATTTACCATAGAAGGCTTTAGGATAATCATATTCCAACTTTCTGGCTTTTACTTTATGTCTGGTGGCCCGTAGGCTTTGATTGTGGCGCTCTTGCCGGTGTCGTGCCATCAGGGTGCAGGGCATGCAATGAGCTCTGCGTTCTGAGTTTTTACACTTCCGGCTGTCTGGTTTAGGGCTTGCAAAGGAGCTCCTGGACCCTCCTTAACCCAGAATAGCCTACCTTTTCGAGGACTTGTATAAGGAAATCATAAAAGGGGCCCTAAAGCGGGTATTTTACTCAGGGTTAAGGTAAACCCCAGTCTCAACCGACAAAGCCTGGCACCTCAACCGCGACAATCGAAGCCTGAGGTTGCCTCCTGCCACGTGACAAGGCTTTGGGGAGCAGACGAAGCAGTTTCGGGTTTAGGAACATCGTGGGTTTCGGTTGAGTGCTGGACATTCGTGGCGAGGGTAAGGGCAGGCTGCAGACCCTCGCTTACGAGCTCTCCGGCTTGGTCTTCAGCTTCATGGAGATATTATTCTTAAGTTTCTTATGGGCTTGAGACGGTTACACAAGGTTCTGTGCTTTAGGCATACGGGTCCTGTTTTGAGTTGCTAAACGACCTAAACCCAGAGGCTTAAGGCTTGAGGCTGTTAGGGTTTCGGCGTGATTGGATCTAGGGTAGAGGGGCTTAGGCATGGGTGGAACTTTAATGCTCTAAAGAGTCGGGCTTCGTATTACTCTACTATACTATACCCTGTTCCCGCTTTAATAGGGTGGGCCTGAACATAGTCATATCAATAGTAGTAGTCGTCGTCGTAGTAGTAGTAGTAGTACTCCTTATCGGTGGGGTTGTTTTTGCAGCTTTCTGCATTTATCGGGTAAAACCCAGCAACATTCGCGGAGACGCCGGGTCAGTTGTGTACGGTCTGTTTCATAGATCTACAGGTACTGCAATGTAACATCCAAGACCTGCCGCTTCCATGAGTGCAGTTGCGACGAGGCTGTCATGGCTGAAGCGTCCAAATGAACTGGAGAAGGACACTAGAACAAGAAAATAGCACCTGAAGTCGCCTTGGTGAAGTACCCACGAGTGAAACCATCGTCCCTCGAAATGCACCGCCTAAGCAAGACTGTGTTGCATGAGTCAAGACCAGTTTCCTGCTGATTTGAGAATCTAATCATCAGGCCTCTCCATCAAGGTGAGGCTCACAGGGTTTAGGGGTAAGGATCCAAGGAATGCAAGACTGCCCACTCCTCGCTGCCAATACCGTTGTATTCCAGGCTCATGGCACGGCCGTCATCGCTGCTGCTCAGGTGCTGGAAGGGCTCAACCTTTCCAGGGTTAGGGCTTCGGTTCACGTCCTATAGGGGCCTAAATTGTTACCAATACTAGTTTGGGAGGTTCCTTATTAAGATATAGTTTTTTATAACCCCGAACCCTCTTGTGACGTTTAAGTCCCTTCTTGTACGTGGGGTTGAGGATCTACGTCTCCCGAGGCTCGGGGCTTTCACATTGTGAGAGCTTCGTGTTTGTGGTTGACCTTTCGCGATTTTCCGGCAATCCCATAACAAGAAAGCCTAAGGCGCCTTAACCCTTGGATTCAGCTGAAGATGTGGCATCGCAACTACATGTTAAGCTCCACGGAACACGCCTTCGCCCTAGAGGTCCAGGGTACGGGGCCCCTAAACCCTAAACCCTAAACCTAAACCCTACACCCTAAACCCTAAACCTAAACCCTAAACCCTAAACCCTAAACCCTAACCCTAAACCTAAACCCTAAACCCTAAGTACGGGGTGTTTCTACCTGGTCGTCGAGGCTCGACCTTCTGAACGATTCCCAAGGGCAAGGACTTCGGGTTTAGGGTTTACCTTAACCCTGAATAACCTACCTTTTCAGGGTTCCTTGTTATGATTTCCTTACGTAAGTCCTTACAAAGGTAGGTCCGTTACTCGGGGTTAAGGTAGGGTTTCGGGCAGGACGGGAGCTAGCATAAATCCTGGACCCCGTGCTGGATCTCGAACCACCGAACCTAATCTAACAATCGGGTTGTTCAGGGCTTCCAAGCGAAAACCGCTACCGGACTGACTCGATACGTTTGTGATGCCTCGACTCTTGACACCGATCTTTCCAGTGTAGTAAAGGGGTCTGAACAATCAACAACAATCATATGGGTAGTTGTCAAAATAAGGGTCCCTCTTTGGGTAACCTTAAATATTAGGTGCCGTATTATAATAGGGACCCAAAAAGGGACCATAATTTTGACAACCACCCATATACTCCCAATATGACACAACCTAATATCCGTGTATTGGTCCCTATATTGCAAGCTCAGTGCCGCTGATGCCAGGCAAATCAAGTCGAAGAACGCTTCGCGCGCCAATGCGCCCCTGCCGATTCGAGCCTTGTCTCTGGCTAAACGGACCCAGGTTGATGCTAAGACCTACTAGGAGGTAAGTTTGTAGTTACAAGTGGGGTTACAAGTAAGGTATCTATACTTATAACTTATAATCCCTATTAGGGGATAACCCTACTTATAACTACCCATGAACCTCCAAGTATAACCCTAAATCATTCAGGAGGATGGTTGTGTCGGGTTGGGCCCGAGGTGGGTTCTTAGGCTTCGGGGGTCGTGGGTTTGGAGGTCAGGGTTTCCAGTATTTCTTGTAAACCCCACCAACCTGAACCCTACGACCCAAGCCCGAAACCCGAGATCTCTTTGTCACAATCGTTCTTCTCCCCTCACCCCAGGACCCCGGCCACAGCGTCGAACTTTCTCTGAGAACCGTCGGCGCCTTGACAGTTAAGGGTTTGTGCCCTCAGGGTGGAGGGTGTGTACAAGAGGGTCACTCTAGCTCTACTTAGTCTTAGTGGTAGTGGTGGTACTAGTAGTAGTAGTAGTAGTAGTAGTAGTAGTAGTAGTAGTAGTAGTAGTAGTAGTAGTAGTAGTAGTAGTAGTACTGCTACTATTACTACTACTACTACTACTACTACTACTACTACTACTACTACTACTACTACTACTACTACTACTACTACGGCTGCTTCTACTACTACTACTACTACTACTACTACTACTACGGCTGCTTCTACCACCACTACTACTACTACTACTACTACTACTACTACTACTACTACTACTACTACTACTACTACTACTACTACTACTACTACTACTACTACTACTACTACTACTACTACTACTACTACTACTACTACTACTACTACTACTACTACTACTACTACTACTACTACTACTACTACTACTACTACTACTACTACTACTACTACTACTACTACTACTACTACTACTACTAGTGGGAGGAGTAGGAGCAGGAGTAAGAGTACAAGGAGTAATAGCAGAGGAGGAGGAGCAGGGGCAGGGGCAGGAGCGCTCAGGAGTAGAAGTAGGAGTGTAAGAGCAGGAGTAGCAGAACTAGCAGTCAGCAGCAGCAGCGGTAGCAGTAGCGGTAGCAGTGGCAGCAGCAGCAGCAACAGCAGTAGCACTAGCAATAGCAGTGGCAGTCGCTGTGGCAGTAGCAGTAGCAACAGCGCAGATACATGAATGCATCCATACTCTACGCATGCATACACGCATACTTATATACACGCAGACATGCATATTTATGTATATATGTCTGCACGTGTCCCAAGCCAAAATGCAGCTGAGCATGTTCGGCCTTGCTAGTACCAGCCAAGGCCACCACTGCGGTGAGCTCTCAACTTCTGGCTGATGTTAACGACGATCTTCCTACGATCTTCCACTGGTGGCCCAAGGAAACATAGAGGTCTGATTGCCGATAGTGTACCCCCGTGGGCCCTGTGCTATCTTTAGATAATGGCTTGTCCCCCAAAGCCCTACTCCTGTTCTGATCAGTTAGGTCATGTATAAACAGGATGTGGTCTCCCTCTTCTGCAATCAACAATCACATAGCTGGAGGATTCCGGGTGCAGGCTTCAAGATTCAGGGCGTGGTCCTTTTGCTATGGGGTGCCACCGTCTCTTACACCCCATGCCTTGCCCCACGAAGACTCTGACGTCTTTGCTACGAAGTTGGGTGAAACCCTGCACTCAAACCAAACCCTCTGCCCTGGTCCAGAGTCTTAGGCCCCAACCTGGACCCTGAACCTTTATCCCCATGATGGTAGGGTTCAGGATATGCAGTCCAGTACTGGGGTGTGAGTAAAGAGCTCTCCAAAGCCGCGTTCTGATGGAGCAGATGTGCAAGTTTTGGGCTTCGTCACTTAGGGTTTTTAAGGTTTAAGGTTTAGACTTGTGCCACCCTTGGGCGGGCTTCTAAACAGAAGAACACCGCAGGCCAGCTGCAGGACCCACCTGCTTGTACATCGATGGAAGTACCAACACCGTACTAGTTGAGCAAGAGGTGGGAAGATTAGTCGCTTATGGTCCCCACATATTAAAAACTACACCCCAAACCCTCTTTTAATCATTAAGTCCAGTTCGTGAAAGATAGCCAGGTGACTTTTTTATGGGTCCATGTTGCCCCAAGCACCAAACCGGCGGGCTCTCTGCCATGGGGTGTGAAGTAAAATAGTTGCAACAAGAGGGCATCGTGAGTCCCGAAATTCGAATCCCTACCCTAAGGCCCCAAGGTAGTTCCTGTTTGGGGTTCGAAAAAAATCGGTAATCCCGAAAAGGAACTGTTTTGGGGCCTATGGGTAAGCACTTCTGAACCCCAACAGCCCTACCCCCAAACTGAAGGACTTCTCCTAGCCCACCTACCCCCGGAAGCGACGCAGGGACTGCAACACGGCCAGCCGCAACCGGCCCATGACTAATGCTAAGCTTCTGTGTTGAGCAGTGAAGCTATCCGTCTCCGGTGATGCAGTTGGCGATTCCAGGTCCTGTGCATAGGGTTTGGGCAATCAGTGACAAGATCCCGGTAGGATCCCTGATGAACCCTAGATGATTACACTGCGATTTGTTCAGTATCCTAACCTAACATGATCTAACCATGAAGGCACCCCTGACGTTGAGAACCTGTGTAAGCATGGTATGTGGCAGAGGCCAAACCGGGATAGGATATCGGGCTGTGCGGGTTTAAGGCTTGTGGGTTTAGTGGTTTAGGCCTTAGGTTTCTGGGTTTATGGTTTTGTGGAGAACTGTTTAAAAGTTTTTGGAAGTTCAGGGCCCAGGATTTGAGCAGATTTAGGGCTCACGATTTGAGAGGATCCCACCAGAGGATCCCACGCCCTGCACAGACCGTGATCCATCCTGGTACTTCGTGTCTGCTCTTTTCTTTCTAGTTCTTGTGTAGGGCATTCATCACGCAACTGCAAGCCAAAGTTGTAATAGGTCTCTTCAAGACATCTCGTTTGCAAAGATCTAAATTGAGGCTCTGCGCCAGCGACCCAGAAAACTCATCCTAAGCCCCAAACCCTGGCAACGGCCGTTCAGACTTCCCCCTTAGATCTGTTTTCGGTTTAGGGAAGCATGTGTTTAGATGAGGATTGTCTACACAGCAAGTTTACGTCGTGTCAGATTACAAGAGCCCGAATCAGGAGCATTTGGAATGTGAAGGCGTGGGGTTTGCGGTCACTAGGGCTTTAGGGTCCTCAAACCGTAAAGACCGCAGAGTTCCACTGGGTTGAAAGACTGTGCATTGAACACATTTAGGGTTTGGGGTAGGTTATAACTTTTAGATCTTGAGGTTGAGAGTTGGGGGGGCGACGTTTCCACAGTTTCCCCATGCCCGGCATAGAAGCGGAAGTGTTTTTCAGCACCGCCTAGGCATCACCGTCCGAGATCATCAGCTCCGTTAGTAAATGTGCGAGTCGTCGCGCGACATGTGCAGGAGTGTTGCTCTCAGGGTGTAGGGGTTTACCTGGACCCCCGAAGTAGGTAGAATAATGGCCATGTATAGGTTTTGGGCTGTTATGTTATTTACTTTTGGGGGGTTTAGGCGTGATCCGTGAGTATGGGGGTGCGCAGTGTGGGGTTTACAGGTTCAGGGTTCGGGGTCTCAGTTTTCATCAGTGTTGCGCTCCGGGCTCAAGCAACCCAAACCCCGGAGATGAGTTCTGAGCCAAACTCTTTGGGCCTGTTTAACGGATACATAGAACCTGTACAAGGTGGTTCTCCAAACTGGGATCCCTTTTATGGTTTTTGCTATGGGGTCCTGAAGGAACTCAAAGGTAGAGAACCCCGTGTGTGAGGTTCTGCCGTAGGGTTTGTGGCATGCGTATAAATATCCCCCCAACATCTACAAGAAAGTAGGTTTGTAGCATATACGCTTTGAGGCAGTCGGGCGGTTTCGGAAACAGGTACTCTCTTGTCTGAACTGCACGTTGCACCTCTCGCGCGGCGCTGACTCTTCTGGATAGACGTTGACTCCTTCTCCGAGAGCTGACGTGACGCCCAGGCTGGCTTCGGGTTTCATCTGAAGGCCGAAATGAACGACCACAGGCACACTGATAACCATAATGACGGAACCGATTCATATTGAATTTCGGTAGACGGGTATCGCCAGAAGAAGCTCCAGCGACATATATCAGTGTTGCTCTACCTGTGCATCCAAGACACTTGCTCCGGATATAAAAACGGTGTTGAGTCCTCTGTAGTTTCACTTTCACGCAAGCGCAAGCAAAAATCGCGAGTCTGCACTAGACCAGTCGACCTGAAACACTGATACTCAATCGATCTTTTGGGCAGAAATGGGAGTTTCCGATAATTGGGGGGTACCTTATTTTGGAGTCCTTATAATAAGGATCCTACTACTTAGGGTACTGTGTTAGGGCCCCCTATTTTCGGAAACGCCCAAATGCTGCAGGGTTATAACCCGATAATCATGCGGTCATGACCTGCTATTTCGTTGGCTGAACTAGGCCCTAAACCGAAGCCACAGCTGAGAGCACAGAAGCCGCTGTGGTTTGGCCGCATTCGGAGCATTAGTTCATGATGCTGCACTTGAGGAGTCAAGATAGTTTGAAGGATCGAACAACCAGTACTGGGATCTCCTTATGGCCTTATGGTCCCGTTTGCAGGCCCGTGTGTCAGGCTTCAAGATTGCCTTCGAGGTAATAAACCTTTCAAGAGGGTTTTGGGTTCCCTGTGCCGTCTAGGTCCTGCCAGCAGTACCCGTCTACTGTGTTGATTACTTTTTGGCGGTCGTGTTTGTTAGCTAACTGAGCGACAATAGAAACTGAGCTGTGTGCTTGGGGCTTCGTCCGGGTTTCTCCCAGCACCCACGGCCTCGTGAGAAGGCGTCAGTTCGAGTGGCTGGATCCCTGAAGGGGCAAAAAGCCTTGCTATCGATCGGTGAAACCGAGAGAAAAAATCTTGAATCGAGCCTTCTCTAGGACCGCAGTGACCTACCCATAGGCCCCAAAGTAGTTCCTGTGTGGAGTACGGTATAGGATTCTATATACAAACCCCAAAAAGGAACTACTTTGGGGCCTTAGGGTAGATAATGGGCTACTGGGTTCATTTACAAGCACTTTCTTTTACTGTTTGGGATCAGTCACCGATTGCTGATGCAACTGGAGCCCATGGGTATGGAGTATGGTGGGTCCACGAAGTCCTAACTTGAGCTTCAAGGTTGTCAGTTGCCAGGTTTTGGGCTTCAGGGCTTTACGTTGTCACTGGACGCACTTGTTGGATATTTCTTGCTTTAGCGCGCCAGGTCGACCCACTAGCCCAGGCCCAATAGATCCTGCAATGAAGCCCCAAACTATCGCCAAACCTCGGCCCTCAAACGTTACTGCTCCTTGTCCTCGCTGTTTTAAAACTGCTAGAGACCCCCCAAACCTAGTCTTGACCCGC